CCGAGGGGAGAGGAGGGGTGGGGCAACCACTCCTCAAAAACACTCCAGTCCCTCCCCACTCCCCATCCTGGTCTGTCCCCTGCCGGATTACCCCCTTCCCTCTGTACTGCCTTCCTGCCCCCGAAGTTTTACCGATGTCTGCTTCTCCCTTTTCCATCCCATGCGTCTCCAGTCCCCAGAGTGGGGAGAGAGCAGGAGGGAGGGGAGGGGAGAACTGTAAGTCCCCTTCAGCAGCCCCTTTGAAGCGGGCGGCTGGGACCCTTGGGGCCTGAAGCCAACCTGCACTCCCGTGAAGGGCCCTTAGGGTCATCTGAGAGTGAGATAATGGGGCGAGGGTGGGGGCTTTGTGGTTGTGCTTTCCACTTTGCTTCATTGAGATTTTTTGTCTGGTTGGGTGTCTTTTTTTCTTGTTTGTTTGTTGTTTTCTTGTGATTAGAACTAAAGAATTGTTTTTGAAGCTTCTGAGTGCTTCTTTTTCCTTCAGAAGTAGGACCAGCCCTGGTCTAGAGTAAGATGAACCACAAAGATGAAACCTCACCTTCTGGGGTGAGTCAGTCCTCTGCAGGACATGGGATGTCCTGGTGAAGAACCCCGCCCTGTGGACAGGGCAGGAGGTGAATGTTCGCAGATGCCTCCTGTGTGCTCCCTGCAGAGTGCGCAAGAGGAAAAGGGGAGCTGCCCTCAGGGGAGAGGGGAGAGGGTGGCTTTTGGTCCTTACTCCATCACCTGCTAGCAGGTGATTCTGGGCAGGTCACTTGGCATCTCGGCCTCTTTTAAAAGTGGGGCTGCCTCACTGGTAGCAAATCAGAATGAAGAGATCTGCCTGTGCCTTTTACCCTGTGCCCAACCTCAGGATGGGAAGCTTGAATTGGGTTTAAACAGACTTAGGGGAGAAGGGAGGGTTAGGGTTAGGGGCCATGGGGTGCTTTGGAGGCTGGCAAGACTGGAAGCCTTAGGGGGAGGTGGGAAGTGTTTGGATGGGAATGTGTAACTGGACAGGAAGCAGAAAAAAAAGAAATCCATGGAAGTTTTTAAGCAAAGGGATATTTTGACCCAAGTGGTGTGTTCTTCACTTTGTATTCCCAGAGCTTGGCATACGGTAGGCACCAAGATCCTTGTGGCCTCAAAATGGTGATGGAGGAGTGTTGGTGTAACATCTGAAGATGGACTATCTGGGAAGAGAGGGCTTAGGCCCAAGAAGGGGTTAGGAGGCCCTAGAAAACATCTCAAGTTGTGCTCTGCCTGGATGGTAGAAATGAAATGAGGGAATTCTGAATGACAGTATGGTTCTTTTAAATGCTCTTTCAGGTCTAGTCTCGTATTTCACTTTGGAGTTCTGTGGTGAAATGAAGATATTCAACCTCCAGCCAGAGTGAAGAACCTGCACAGAAGGCTATGAGGAAAGAAGCATTCTGAGAAGGCACGGAAGTGCCTGAAGTCACACAGCCAGGATCTACTTAGGATACTTTGTTTCAGATAAAATTTCTAATTGTGTTTATCCTTAAGACACCCTAAACAAAGAGTAGAAGGCACCGGACCGCCTCCCTTCCTCATTTCCTCCAGCTACCTTCATGGTGATGGTCATGGAGACTAGAGAACGGAAAGTCAACTGGCAGATGACTTTTCAGAGACTTCTATGGAAAAAAACAGGTACTGGGCCGAGTCAGGCTTCCTGTGAGGAGCTGAGAGAGGTGCAGGGCAAGAAGGACAAAGGAAGAGGAGGGTAGAGGAAAGGGGAAAAAACAGGTGCCTTGAGCCCACACTGTCCGGCTAAAGCTCCAAATTGAACCTCCTATGTCCTCTGTCCAGCCAGTGGGCCTCCTAGGGAGGCCAGCCCATCTCAGGAAATGCCACAGGTAACTGGAGAAAGGACTGACTCATGGGAAACAATACACTTGACAAATAGCAATCATCATTGTATTTAAATAGAGTTCTGAGTGTACCTTTTTAAATCTATTATCTTTGAAAAAGCAGTATGGCCTTGATTAGTAGGTAGCCCACCTAATGAATGAAATCTCTTTTGGAAACTTCGACACTTCTGCAAAACAAATAGGCCCATAATTTCCTAAAGACCAAATAATTGGTTGAAAACCATTTATCTTTTGCAAGGGGCAGCACCCCACCACCACCCCCTTCTGTGTGACGCAGCATTACCCCCAAGGTTGCCACTTTCATGAATGTGATTTATTTCTTGTAACTCCATCACGTATTTCCAAAGGACCCTTTCTTGGCAGTCTCTTTGTGTCCAAATCTGCTGGTAAACAGCTCAGCCTGGCATCAATTAGCTAAACCACCGAAGCCGGTCATCCCCAGCTGTGACCTCATTTCACCCATTCCTGCTCTTTTCCTTGCTCACACTATGCAGACCTTCAGGTGATATCACTCTCCTTTTTCTTAACAGGTCCCTTTCCTGGCAGCCTTTTCATGGAAACCATTTAGGACTTCCACAGTTTAACAAGGGGTTCCCAAAGTCTCTGCTGATACACTCCAGTAGATTAACATGAAACGCCTCAAAACGCGCACCAGCTGAAGCTGTTGGGATCGATTATTATAACTTCAAACCAATTTGCAGAAATGCCTGATGTGAAAAGGGGATGTGGTTGGGACAAGTGAGGATTTCAGAGTTAGGACAAGCTTAGCCCTAAAAGCTTAAGAACATTCCTCTCTAAAAACTTTACATCAATTAAGTCTCTATTTATGTTGCAACATTAAGTCAAGATGGAGTGAAGGCTTTCGAAGAGCCATATCCAAAAAAAGATTACAGGGTACGTACAGATGGGTTTCAACAAAAGTGAAAATTAAACAGGAAACAAAATCACCATTTTAGGTGCATGATACGCTCCGGCCTGATGTCTGAAGGCTAGAACGTATCATGTTTGCAAACCACCTTTTCCATGAGGAAACCTGAATACGCTTTGGGTGGAAATTTCCAGATGTAAATAGAAGGCTTGCGTCGTCAGAGAATGCCAGCTGAAACCAATGATATTTAGGGGGATGATCACTTAATTCTGAATGGCCCACGATTGGCTATCCTTTGTCCTGGAAATGGGACACTCAGGTGTGGCTTGAGCTACACTGACCATTGCTATTGGCCAGTCCCTTGGCCTGCCCCCTAACATGTACCCAATTACTATTCAGCGAACACCTCCTATGTACAAGGCATTCTGCGCGACTGGGGGGGGTAAGTATACGGCATGGTTCCTGCCTCGCACATCTGTGGTTGCTTAGGGAGATGGCATACCTGAAAAGGACTACATGAGATATGTTGACAGTTTAACACAACAGAAGTGTCCTGAAGATATACAGGAAAGCTTAAGAGAGGGAGAATATTCTTTAGCGTCTGAGCAAGATGTGACTGGCATTTTGTTCTTTGCTAGTTAACTGAACTGTGTTGATTCTATTCTTGGACCTACGTGGTGTCACCACTTGGCTATTCCACTGGTTTTTAAGGAGCAGTGGGGTTGAGTTCAGAGATCATTAAAGCTCCTGGAAAAACAAAGGTTCTAAGTGGGGGAGGTGCCTTTGAGGGCCCTATACCTGCAAAGCGGACAATAGCCTCCATCGTGTTTTCACCTAGAAGTCAATTCTTCTAATCCTCTCCTTATGAAAACAGTTATTTGAATGCTCTATAACCTTTCCTTTCTAAGATTTCGAAGAGCTATAATGGGTTTTCCTGCTCTAATGCTTTGACTGCCAGTTAATTTCCTAATTTGGAGCTAATTACTAAACTGCTTAAAAATTTAAAGCCTGGGCAACCACTTACTGACAAGCTTTCCATTTATCACCATGGCGTCTGAGGACATGGCCCTTAGCCAAGTACAGAAGCTTCCTCTTCTATCACAGAACAAACTAGCCTTTGTCAGTGCGGCTCTGCCAGATGTTTTCTCAGCCATCATCTTCATATGTTAAAGTTACAGAGTCCGAAGCCTTTCAAGAGCTGGGAGCAACTTCCAGGGTTAATGCTTCAAAAAACAAAACTATAAACTGCACATTTTTCTCTCTGGGGGTTTTTGCTCTAAAGAAGGCTTTAATTCATCATCATTTGGAAAGAGCCTTTTTTTCAACTTTTTTTGGTCACTGTCTTAACTAATTGGTTCCTTGTTTTACTTTTCTCTCACATTTTTGTTTGGAAATAGTGAAGCTGAGTTTTTGTTTTATTTTCATGGATAATGAACTGGAAAAGTGGTCATGTTGTTTAAAAGTATGTTAGCTCAACTGATAGAGTTTCTTACCAAAAGCAATGGAAAATCCAATTTTATCAGCTTTGAAAAGTGAGCAGTATTGCTTGTAACAACGTAATGTTGGGGGTAGGGGGTGTTTAAAATGCTATCACAAGACACATGCTGTTAATCAGAGCGGTTCAAGCTGTGCCTGCAGGGTCTTTTCCCTTCACCCGGTCCTGCTATATAACAATGTAAACAGTGCCCCCTGGAGCTGTGCAGCCAGCTAACCTATACCCCTGCCCTATTACAGAACCTTTTATCCCCCCCTCATCTGGAATTTTTTATAATCCCAATTTTGATTAAAAACAAATATTGTATATATGCATGAAAAAAAAACAGGACTAAATTACAAGGTTAATAATTGAATCGCTACAAAGAGAGGTGTGTGCTCGTGAAACTTTTCCTATTTTCCAGTCAACGAAGAACCTGTAGTATATAAAAAAGAAAACGTAGGAAATGTCATTTCCATGAGTTCCAAAAATTCCATCTTCTCCAGGAAGCAGTGCATGTTACTTAGAAGTCTTTTTTTTTTTGCTTTCACATCTACGCGGTCTTCAGCCAACTGAGTCCCTACTCTGTGCCTAGACTGAGAATGACTCGATTTCCTTTCCATGCTGCAGAGGACTTGACAAGAATAGATACGTCTTTGAGAGACAGGCTGCCGTGGCACGCAGAGGGAAGGGCAGTCACAGAAAGGGCTCGTGGAGTGCAAGAGGGTCATGCTAAGAGTGGGAAGGCCCGGCTGGGCGTCGCTCAGCGGTTGAGCGTTGACCTGGGATCCAGGCGATCGGGGTTCGATTCCCGGTCAGGGCACAGGCCCGGGTTGCGGCCTCCATCCCCAGTGGGGGGCATGCAGGAGGCAGCTGATCAATGACTCTCTCATCATTGATGTTTCTATCTCTCTCTCTCCCTCTCCTTTCCTCTCTGAAATCAATAAAGATATATTGAAAAAAAAAAAAAAAGAGTGGGAAGCATTGATGCCCAGGGTGATGAGGAAGGGCGACCCCAGGACAGCAGCAGGACTGATGGCCGAGAGAACAACAGGCCCAGCCTGGAGAAGGTCAAAGGGCTCCAGGAGAGACTTCTTGAAGATGGGGTTGGCTGAAAACCCAATTGAATCTGACCACACTGAGAGGAGAATTATACACCTGGGAGAGATTTAGGAATAAAGTAACATAGAAAACAAAGTAAGTAAATTTTTTTTAAAAGACAATGATTAACTCCAGGGAAAACAAAGAGTTGTAAAGGAAAGGAAAAGTCATCATAATACATTATATGACTCAGCTACGAACAGCACTTGAATAAAGTATATACTGAATACTGACCTAATCAAAAGTTGATGTAACTAGTTTGAAGATAGGGAAAGAGAAAGCATGTATGTGTATATGAGTGGTGGGGAGGGGGAGGCAGTTGAAACACAGGCAAATCCTCATCTTCCAAGTGTGAAGTCAATTAATTGATAATGCCCAACAGGAAAACACAAGTAACATGCTATTTGGAACTAGGGAATCAGACACCAAAACAGTGAAGTGGTTTTCTCTGGGGAGCATGAAAAGGGGGGGGGGGGCTGTTATTATTCGTTTGTTTTGCCTTTTTTCTTTGTAATAAGTACTTTAGAACAGCTTGACTAAAACTAAGTTTATAACTTTGGTGAAAATACAGAAATTTAATTTTAAGAAATTATAGCCCTATGTGTTATCTCCCACTTGCTGGTCTGAGACAGTCCCAGGGCAGGATAGACAACATATGACTGTTTGTAATTATGCATTTACACGATCACTTCGCCGTCTCACTAGCAGGCTGTAAGCTCTCAAAGGCAGCCAGCATGTCTGTTTTGCTTATCACAGTCTCCTTAAGACTGAGCACATAGCAGGCACTCAACACATACTTGTTGAATGCATGATGAAATGGATAAGGCAGGTTTAGAAGTCACCACTCACCATTTTTATAAAGATATGCATAACTGTAGTATTTACAGGCAAAATGGGCTAATATCTGGGCACTGCCTTAAGATACTCCAGGAAAAAGGAAGTGTGTAAACAAGATAAAAAAAAGATTGACGAATGTTCTTAACAAGTGATGGGGAGATAAGGGCTTGCATTCATTTCTCTACTTTTGTGTATGGTAGAAAATTCCTTTTTTTTTTTTTTTAATTTATTTTTGTTTAAAATATTACAGATGTCCCTTTTTAGAAAATTCCTTTTAAAAAAGAGAAATAATAAAATTTGTACAGAAGGAAGGCTAGAAGGAAGGGGCAGCATTGTGGCATAAATATATTAAATTCAGAGTTCAGTAGTTAGGAATGTTTGTATAACGAGGAATATGTAAATAATGAAGCATCAAGGAAGGAAAAAAAAGCATGTCAAAGGCAAACACTGTGCCAGGCGATTAGTCCAAGAAGCTAACTAAAAGTTGACTGAAAGAAGGGGTGAAGGGTACTTACTGAAGACATGGAAAGGGACAGTTGAGTGAAGTACTAGAGTTACTGAGAAATTACATATTTTATCCTACAAAAATATAGCACCTGAGGAACCGAAGTGAATGCCCCAACCGAAAGGCTCATAGTACAGTATAAATAATCCAGGCTCTGGAATCAGACTAGCCTGGTTGAATCCTGGCTCAACATTTACTAGCTGTGTGACCGTGGACAAGTTGCTTAGCCTCTCTAAGCCTTAGTTTTCTGTCTGTAAAATGGGGATAGTAACAGCACGAGTGAGAAACAGTTATTGGAAGTTTAAATGAAATAATACATGTCAAGTCTTACCCATGCCTGACTTACGGTAAATGGCTAATAAATGGTGGTGGTTGTATGCCTTGGGAAGGGATTCTGCCAAGAGAGCAAAGTTAAGTTAAAAGGGGACAATTTTGCCAGGAAACCAAATGCACTCTTTACAGTTCCGCCCTGTCTCTCAGCCTGAGGAAACCCCAGGATGCACCGACCCTCATATAATGGACAACCAGTCCACAAGTCCTGCCTGCAGGTCTATGGGACCAGACACATGGGGATAATAGCGTGGCTGGTCTGGGAGCTCCGGCAGCTCACAGCTGGCAGGAGACACAAACCTCAGTCACCAAAGCAAAGAGGGAAACAATCCCAAGATTCTGACAGAAAAACAGGCTTTTCCTGACCTAGAGGTCTAAGGGTTTTCATAAAGGCAGAGGGAAAGTACAGTGGATGCAGGGAAAGAATGAAAAGAAAGGGAGAGAGCCTGACCAGAGCAGCTCGGTCGGTGGAGTGTCCTCCTGGGCGCCTAAAGGTTGCCAGTTCGATTCCATCAGGGCACATGCCGGGGTTACGGGCTCAATACCCAGGCCGGGACTCTATGGAAGGCCATCGATCAATGTTTCTTTCTCACATCGATGTTTCTCTCTCTCCCCCCCTCTCTCTAAGCATGTCCTAGGGTGAGCATTCAAACAAACAAAATAGTGAGAGACGGCTGGCTGCACATGTCTCACACGCACATGCCCCTGCTAGCTAGACGGTGCCCAGCAGGCAGTGAGGAGCCATGTGAAGGCTTTCCATCAGGTTCTGCAGAGATTATGCTTTAGAAAGATGCTCTGATAAAAGGGTCTGGAGTACAAGAAAGAGTAGTCCAGATATTAGGTAGCCAGGGCTCGAGTTAAGGTATCAAGGGAGGAGCAGTTAGAGTTAAGAGATACTGCAAAGGCAGGAAGACTCAATGTGATAACCAGTAAGATGTGTGGAGGAATCAAAGGTGGTTCCCAGGTATTTGGCTTAAGTTACAACTAGATAGCTAGTTGCTTCTCCCTCAGTCTTCTCTCTCAGGCAAGTTTGTTCAGGCCAAAATCCTTGGCTTCATGTCTGACTCCTCTCTCTCGCACACACTCCACATCCCGCCCAATCAACACTCATTCAACAAATATTCACTGAATGCCAGGCAATGTTCTAGGTACAGGGAATACAGCAGTGAAAAACCCAACCAGAACTTCTGCCTTCACAGAGCTCTATCTTCTAGAGGTGGAAACAGGCAATAAAGATAAGCAGGCAAAACATACTGTCTGCTAGATTACGATAAGCATTGAGAAGTAAAATATAGCAGAGGAGAATAGAAATACAGAGGGGAGAAGTTGCAATTATAGATAAACCTGTCAGCAAATCCTATCAACCCTTTCTTCAAATAAATCCAGAAACAGACTTCACACAACTTCCACTGCCACCAGCATGGTCTAGTCTACCATCCTCTCTCAAGAGCCTCCTATTCTTGTGATAGCCTCCAACTGGACCCTGCTTCCACCATTGCTCCCCTATAATCTGTCATAGGAGCTAACAATTCCATTAAAATGTAAGTCAGATGACATCTCTCCTTTGTCCCAAACCCTCCAAAGAAGGAACAGGAATAGACTAAAAAAATGCCAAGATGATTATCAGGAAACACTGAAGGCCTGGCAGGGGCTGAAACCCTAAGTTATGATGGAGCTAATCAGCGAGGTGATTTGATGTTTCCCTCACAGTGTTTTGAAAGCCTAGGCACAGCTAAGGAGAAAACAGCTGTTCCAGTTGATAGAGAACTGGAAATGGGCAGGTCACAGAACACGAAAAGGGCAAAGGGGCTATGAACTCGAAAGGCGAGAACGAATGGGACTGAGCTGACTCATCAAAGATCCCAAGGCAGGATCCAAACACTTCATTACTGTGAAGACTGGGCACAACAACTTGCCTCTCTATGACAGGCAGCGAGGATTTGGGGCACAGCCCAAGGGGCTGGCTTACCTGCTGCGCACAGAGATAAGCTGGTGGTGAGCTCTCAGGCGAACCATAATAAAGCATTTTGGAGGGTGATTAGCAACAGCCTAGAGAAGAGGCTCAAGGGAGATGGAGCTGCAGACAGGGAGGTGTGAGGCAGAGAGGAAGGGATTTCCAGAATATCTCAGCTAATCTGGGGACTCGGACATGGGGTAAAAAGGGCCTGTGCAAGCAACTCAGAAGAAAGGAGCAATCCATATATTTAGGGCAGGGGAATGGATGTAGAAGAGAGACACCCTGAGGTGTACACTGAAATGATACAATGCTTATAACATAAACCAAGTGGAGCCTGAAAGGGCTCAGGGGTCCTAGCTTGAAGCATAGTCACAAGTACCTCTCACGGCAAAACTCAAAGCCTTAATAAAAGGATTAACCGTACAATTATTCCAATTTATGGGATTGGAAAGATTATATCTAAGTCAATTGGGATTTGGTAAACTTTATAAAGCCTACTCTACTAGGTTTTAATTTCCTTTATCAAATTTTCATAGACTGAAGGTTTGATATAAGTACGAATTTATTGACATCAATTTCCTTAGGATATTATTCCAACACAGAGAGGGTACTGAAGAGCTGAAGACAGTGATAATAAACCCACAAGATCTGAAGTCTGCAAGGCCCACTCCCTCCAAGAGAGAGAAAGAGAGAGACAGAGAATGAAAAAGTCTTCAAAAAGGATCTGGAAACTGCTTTTAGTTATAGCGAGAAGTAATGGGTTTGACAATGTAAGCATTTTATCCAGAAACATGTATCTATTCCATAGAAACCAAATCGATTACCATATAATTGAGTTTGAAAATATACAAAATATTTGTTGTTCTTACATACTGAAATTAAAACCTAATTTTAAAAAGTGCACAGTAAAAACAGCATAAGGAAACCTACAATATCCATGGTATGTGTATAGTTTTCCATTTTACTGTCAACATCAAATCCTGTATTTGCCTTACTGGTTACAAATATATTTTAAATGTTTCAAGGCCATTTACAACACTGACTAGTTTACTAGGTCCAACAACAC